GCTCGAAGGCCTTAGGAGAATAATTTGGAGTCATCAAAACATACCGCAAAGAGCAAAAAGTTGAGGGAGCAAAGAAAAACATAGAGAAAAAACAGTAAAATTATAGCGTCAATCAAACCTTTCACTCATATATATAGAGAAATGGAATAAGCATAACCCTCGTATAGGGGCAAAAATAGATTTGCACAATAGTTTCAAAAACACGCTGATAGAATGATCATGATACAAGAATCAAGATGCAAAAATAAATTTTATTTCTTGAAAAAAGATATTACAAATTATGCTCGAGATCTAGTCCTAGAGGAAATGCTTTAAAAAGAGATCGTCTGCCACTACGATCATAACATACCCCCACCAAAGCAATCTTTTATACAATCTGTCTCAAGTTGAGCTTAGATTATGGAGGTTCTCTCCCAGACGTCCAGCAATTACTGGCGAAGAATGGCCATCGCTTCCCCCTTCCTCCATTTTCTCCACACGAGCAAGCAACTAGTGTATCTCCTCGCCCCATTGAATCTCGACCGACCGAGCGAAACAGTTCTCTATCTCGTCCAGCGGCTGCCAGTGATCCGAGGGAAGTTTGATGTTCATTAGTTGCTTCCCCACGGGCTTCACGAGGATTGCCTTGGCAGTCAATCCCACCATCTTCGTTTTGAAAGTTGGCAGCTCTTGACCGTGTCTGATCCTCGAGGAGATCTAAAGGTCTAGAGTAGAAAAGTACAACAATAGAGGACCCACTGATAGAAGACTATAAGGCTCACTTCTCCGACCAAGTGTTGTAGTTCGAGCCAAAGCAAGTAAGGCCATTGCTGCTCGAGCCACAAAAGACCGAATGATTCGAGTCCGAACCATTCAGTTAAGAATGAGACCGAGGAATTTGAGCCAACCATCATGAAGACACCAACCCGAGGGAAGACCAAATCGCTCAGCATCTCCAATCATATCGAAAATATTCAGAAGTTCTCCTATCCATCATCAAGGGTAGACAACCAAACTAGATCGGTCGACCAAGCCAGTTCTGTCAACCTGAAGCCAAACAAACTCATCCGACCGAGCCATAGAGCAGCTGAGCGATAGACTCATACCTATAAATTTTCAAGAATACCTCGTACAACCTCCACAAAAGCAAGGGTAAATGTAATATCACCATATTATACTCTTTTCCTTTATAAACAGTGAGATAATTTCATAAATAAAGAATATCCAAATTAGCCAAAATGGGCAGGAAATGTCAAACACGATTACAGCTCAAGATTGTTCACTTCTCGCTATATATATCTCTCATAATTTACGTTTTATTCTTTGGGTACGATTCATAGAGAAATAAAGATTCAATATACCAAATGGTCTGGTGAGCGTGGACACGCAACAAACCAGAAGGGGAACAACCTATGGAGAAGAAACTCACAACAGAGACATCAGTAATATGGAGTGCACTAGAGAGTTTGTGAACCAACAGATCCAGGAGTCGAAGGATCAAATGTTGGATGCCATCCGAGACGCGCTAGCTCGGGGAAAAGAGTAGTACCCCCAAGGAAGGGTCGATGCCTAACAGTTGAAGTGCCGACAGGCTCTAAAAAGAGAAGACGACTACCAGTACTTCAACAGTACATTACTGTACTTTGAAGTGATTAGAGAATCAAATAAAATTGAAAATTATATAGTTTCATAGTTTTTGGCAATTATTACCAATCGTCTATTGCAGCCTTTTTTACTTTAGATTTGTAATTATGCAAGAGAAGATGGTTAAAATTTTCTGAATTTCTGAACAATTTGGGAGAAATACCTGAAAGAAGTTGAGTTGTTCAGTTTGAGTCTAAATGCGCCAAATATGTTTTTATGGTCTGGCTACAATTAGGATTTAATAAATATTGTAAATCCAGAATGAGTATATCTTTGAGATGTTAAATCTTGAAAAATATTTTCATGGTAGACATCAAACCTATTTGATGAATATTTTCTAGATTTAGAATTTAAATAAAGAAGAAAAATAAGCACAATGAGATGTGTTGCAAACCATCACCAGGATTTAGCCTAAAATGGGATTTAAGATACTAGTAGGATTTTCTTAGCTCAAAAATAAATTTGAAACTATTTATCCTAAAGTTTGGCTCTTGATCTAGACAGCCCCTAAATTCCCTTCCCAAGAAGCCAATGAAAGCATTCGGCCTGCTGATCCATTTTTGCTCTAAGCATAAGAATCTTTTGGGGGTTTTCTGGCAAAGGATTTAAGCCAGGATTTAACATGGATGATCGTTTTGGACAAAATAAATTTGCAGCTTTCATAAATCCTGATTTCACTAATTTTGACTATAAATCCTGGATTTACTAAATCATCCCATTCTTGAAATATTGTATTTGCTTTGCTATAACAAAAAAATTACAAGAGGCGTACAAAATTATGTTCTCAGGCATTTGCAAAATTAAGCCCATCTTCTATAAGAAGAAATAAAAGAGCATGCTGTTCATTTGCATCTGTTACAGTAAAATCCCTTGGAGGGCTAGGTAAGCACAACAATTTGCAGCTCTATATTCATTTCTAGATATGTGTTGAAAGATCACTTGCTTGAATTGCAATTGGGCAAAGCTTGGGTTGGCTTGATGGTAGGTTTGCCAGACTCCGTCTTGCCTAGACTCCCTGAAGAATTTGAGCACATTTACTCAATGATGATGCATGCCTTTGCACACAAGCATCCAAGGCTCTATGTTCTAAATCCCCCCATTTGGTGGATTTAACTTCGCACGCTGTGGATTTAACGGGGGAGAACTCATTGTGGAATTTTTTATTGGGAGGGATTCGAGTTCCCAAAAGGAATTCACAACGGCAGCCATGTAGAAAGGCGGTTCATTTAATGAGATATTGAGTAGCACTCCATCATATTCCTCTTGCCAGTGCTATTGGTGTTGTTTCCTCAGTTTGACCTGAGCCCGGAGAAATCTACAGCGAAACCTATGAGTTCAAGATCTAGTAGCGAAGGATTTAAGGCTATGAGCTCACCAGAAATGCCCACTCCCTCAATTCTCGAACCATTGAATCCTTTGACAAGGAATAACCTAAACCGACCTCTGATTTCTTCTCTTATATAGAAGAAATTAAATTTTTTGTAACCCCTCACCAAGACTTCCATAACCCTAGCCTCATTTTGACATAACATGCTTAAATTCTGGTAGAAGTTCCCAAACAGTTTGATAAGATTTAACTGGATTTACTAAATTCAATGTCAAACAGTTTTTGAGATTAAAGCTTTTCGGAGATGTATGTCAAGGGAATAGATTTAAGTTAGTTGGATTTAGTAAATCATGTGAATCAGGATTTAGTAAATCCTATAAGGGTTAAATCCAAAAAACTATTTGACAACAAATTTAGTACGTCCAATAAATCCTGTCAAACTGTTTGATAACTTTTACTAGAATTTAAAAGGTTGTTATGTTGGCTAGCATGAAAAATCCTAAAAAAGTTTTGATTATTTTATTGCCATAATTAAAATTTATTTTTAAATTTAATTAAATTAAATTTTAATTTTTTTTCTAATTCTACTAATTAATTAATTATTGACAAAACTAATTATCTATTAATTAATTTTTATTAAACTAAACATTTGTTAAGCAATAATTTAATATGAATCAATTATTAATTATATTAATTAAGAATTGCTTAGAATTTTATTAAATAATTTTAAATGTTAAAAATATATTTTAATTCATTAATTAATTATTTAATAATTATATGTAAATTGATCTAATTATAATTAATTTGATAATAGAGGAGTTAATTATTATTTAGTAATCAATTAAATTAATAAATTTAGCTTAGATATAAATAAATTAAAACCACAAACTTATCTACCCATTCGCTCTCTGACCGAAACCCTTGCCCACGACACTTCCCATCTCTGCTTAAAATCCTAGCCCCGCTCTCCCGGTTGTCCAAAACCATAGCCTTCGTGATTGAACCCTTGCAATTGTCACATTAGAGCTAACCAGAAAGGCAACGACAGGATCATGGCGTACAGAGACTCGAAACTCCCACCCATCGTTGTCCTCCTTCCGCTCTGTGCTTACCCAAAACCATGGAAGAAGGTTAAAATTCACATCCTCCTTTTCTCATGAAGCACCCGTCTTGGATTTATTAAATCCGTTTATTCACTGGATTCAGTAAATCTGGGATTAAGGCCTAAATCCGTGAAACCAGATTTATCAAATTCACAGTTTTATTTACAGTTTGGCAAGATTTAGGTTAAATTTAGGTTATTTGGTAGGATTTTTTAAAATAGGATTTAAGTTAAATTTAACCTAAATCCAACCAAACACTATAAATGGGTTAGATAAATCTATCATTAAGTTAAATTCAATTTTTGCTTGTTTCGTTTGTTAAATCCGGTTGGATTTAACAGATTTAACGTAGGAAAAAAAATATTTCAAATGATTTATGCCAAACACCTCAAATGGATTTAATTGGTTTTAACTTTCATTGAACAAAATATTATTTCAAATTTAATGATATTTAGATTTGATAAATTCTGATTTACCACATTTACTAAATCCTATTTAACATAATTCCTTATTGTAGCCAAACACCAAGTGGAACAGTCCCTTCACGATTTGTTAAAGCTAGATTTACAGGATTTACTAGATCCCACTATCTTAAATCACATCCGTTGCCAGACAGCCCTCAATGTGCAAGAATTGCAACCTAAATGTACAAGGGGCATTTACATACATACCATGCAATTCTTATGTATTTACATATCTAACACAAACTTTCATATTACATATAACACTCTAATCTTTAATATCACATAAGACATATTCTACTATTAATTTCTTAAAAGTGATGTACCCGTTTTCATATATAGATTCAAATATCAAATTTTAGGTGTTAGATATGTAAATATGAAGGATAACAAACCAGAAAAGATTTTTTTTTTTTTTTTGCTTGGATTTCCTTATGCTTTACTTGATCATCCTCTCAGAATGGTTTTCCTTCCTCTTCTAACCAGATTCCAGAGTTCTGCTCAAGGGACAATTCTCTAGTCATTAAAGAAATTTTTGGCGTGACGGAGTATTAGCAAAACTAACTCATTCTCATATTTTTCTTCCCCAAAACTTCTGCAACTCCTTCACTCTTTCTTTTTTATTTTTTATTTCCGTTGTAGTGAGGATGCCGACACTCTCCGTTTGCATACTCTCTCTGAATCAGGCGACGTTGAAACGCTTGAGAAGCTTGTCGATGATGCAGATTCTGACGAACCTGATGATGAGTCTGTGAGTGTGAGTTAATATATAAATGGATGTTTTACATATATACCACTTTATTCCCATGTATTTACATATCCAACATCTGAACTTAAATTATTATATATATATATATATATGCCAGCTATGCATCAAAAGTTGTATTTCACTTTTTTAGCATTGATGACGATATTTTTGATGTGATATGAAAAAATTGGGTGGTATGAATATGAAAGATAAAGTTTAGATGTTAGATATATAAATACATGGGAATTGGGCGGTCTGTATGTAAATACCCCTATAATATATATATATATATATAATGTTTTTTATCTCATTGAGGGATAAGATGAACAGGCAATGCAGAGTGATGCAGAGGATGTTTTTTCAAGTACCTTTATAGGGTTGTAGCTCACGTTCAGTATATGTTTTTTCTTTATTTTTTAAGTCCCTATATAGGTGATTATGCCCTGAAATTGATGGAACTAGAATGTTAAATACTGACATATAGCATCTTCCGAATGCTTGTGAATAGGGCTATCAAATTTTGCTTCTCTTAAATATTTGCAAAACCCAAAGCATTCTTCACATCAGACGGGCAGTGAATTATATCTGTTTGAGTGTTATTTAAAGGAGAAAATATTGCATTAGGACTCCACACGTAGAGTTACGTGCGGAGTCCAATGAAATCACGCCACGTGGTGGTGACAGAAAAAAAATAAAATTTGTCTGTTAAAACAAGAAAATATTCCTTCAATATTTTTCAGGTGTTATTGTGTTATTCAGATGTTATTGTGTGTTACTCGGGTGTTATTATGTGTTGTTCAGATGTTATTATGTGTTATTCAAGTGTTATTGATGTGTTATTGTATTATTATAACATCAGAAATATTCTCATAATATAATAACACCTGAATAACACGGAATAACATGAGGGAAATTTTCCCTGTGTTGTCGGGCCGATTTTATTTTATTTTTTTATGTCGTCTTCACACGGCGTGATTTCATTGAACTCTACATGTAATTCTACGTGCGAAGTCCTGATATAATATTTTTTCTATTTAAAGGGACTTGCATGCCACAATTTTTATGAGCTATTTTTTTTTAATATCTCAATTTTGATCTTTATTTATATAACATCGAAAATTTTTAACATCACATAAAAAAATGTCATTAAAATTTTCTTTTTTAGTAAAGTACACGCTTGTTATGTTTTCATGTGACTATTTCATTGAAGTAGCATATAAGTAACTATTAAAATTTAGGGGTTAGATATGTAAATACTTATGAATTGTGTACTATGTATTCAAATCCTGTTTTATTTGTCTTTAAATTTATAAATATTCTTGGTTATCTAAAATTCAACCGCACTGATTAAATTAAAATTTAATTCGATTTAAATTAGTTTGCAAAATGTTTTTATTGGTCTAATTTTTATTAATTATTGTTTGATGTTAATTGAGATAACTCAAATGTAAGTCAAATTAATCAAAATCGCATTCTTGCGCTGAGATGAGGTGGTTTCATATTTAATAATTTTAGATGAAGAATTGATTGGGGGCATTGTGTAATTCGGGTTGTAACCAACTAAAACTTTCTCATGCAAGACAATTTGTTATAGTTTATAATTAGATGTCACCTTTTAATTGCTTTAGAATGATTGAAACTTGGGAACTGATATTAGAGATGAAAGAAAAAATGGGAAGGATACCGCAAGGTTTATCTCAAATAAGGGAAGAAATATTGCGTGCGGTATGGATTTAGTGGTATTGCAGTTGTATTGTAGTGATATTAAATATAATATCATTACATTATCATCATAATATTATCATCTTTTTCAAATAAAGAGGGGTATTCCAAAATTATGAGAACTCCTTTTTCAAGTATTAGTAGAGGCTGAGGAATGAGTAAAGCTAGCCAACCAAGCACATGTAAGCCCCTAACACAAATCCATAAGGTAAGATTAATGATTTTAAAAACTAGTGCTTAGGAGGATCTAATCCGAAAAGCAGAGATACTTAGTTCACGACATCGAAAAGGTGCCGAATAATGTTAGCCCACTCATCATTCATTTTTCCACCATTTAATATTTATTTTTTAATATACCCACAGATCTTTAAAATACCCAAAAATGCTTAACAAAGTTATGATACTTTTGCAAGGAAATGTAATCCCAAAATTCCTTATTCTACGCAACATCAACTTTTTCTTTTCCCTTTCCTTTTAAAATAGTTATGCTAATCTAATGACTTATAAAACTAAACAACATAAACAAGTCTAATGCATAACTTGAATTGAATACGGACGAAAGCTAAATAACATGTATGCCAGTCATGATTGGACGATCATAAAGTGAGTAAAGGTGATTTATAAAATACTATACCATAAATGAAATTCATAAAGGTAGTATTTGCACCAGAATGTAGCAATATACTTGCAAAAGTAATTTAAATGCTTTAAATCTCTTTTTTTTAGTAAATTATTATCTATTGTCTAGTATTTTATCATAGAAAATGTGTCCTAGAAAATGATATATCATCAAGTTTAATAGAATCAGATGAAACCCAGTATTACTTATATTGAACTACTCTGATGATCTTTTTGCATTCGTAGAGAACCCATAGTTCCATTGGGGTCCCTTTTGCCCCACCTATGTAGATAGGGCTGTCAAAATGGCTTCTTGCTTGCGAACAACTCATGTTCGAGCTGTTAAGTACTTGTGTTCGTTTCGCTTGCTAAACAAATTAGTGGAAAACAACAATTTTTTTTTGCACTCGATATATACACGAGCTGAATACAAACAAAGATGTGTTTGTTGGTGTTAGGCTCATTTTGGCTCGAAATATTTAATATTAAAAAATTTAGTTTACTACAAGGTTAGAAATATTTATAATCAATCAGAATTGTTAATTAGAAAAATAGAATAAAAATATATTAAGTTATACTTAAATGAATATTTTAATATAAATAATTAGATTTAAATCTCACCCCTATCTTTAATATCCCACGGCTGTGTAATTAGGGCTGTCAAGACGTCTCGTTATTCGTGAACAACTCGTGCTCAACTCGCTAAGCGAACAAGCCGAACAATAACAAATTTATTACGCTCGATATATAAATGAGCTGAGCATGAATAGTGATATTTTTTATCGAACTGAACACGAGCTAAGCCTGGGCTTGCTCAAGGTCGGCCCGCTTACACCCGTAACGTAGGTATTATGAACATATAACTACTAATCTATTCTCTCATAATATGAAATTTTTTAAACTTCACATATTTTCATAACTAAACATTTTAATAAACAAGTAATTCTTGCACAAATATGCTAAAGATTGCATATGCAAATGAATTGCTTACAAATATTAAATGTTTTCTTTTGATAGTATCACCAACTAATAAAATATTTATTTAATCAAAATGCACTAATTAGTTGCGAGCTTATATAAAACTAATTTTTTATGTGATTATTTTACTCATCAATAAGATTATGAATATGTATTCTATAATAAGAAAATGTTATGATGAATTCCAAACTAATTATACCATACACATTTATATACGTCGAAAAAATTAAGCATAGTTCATTTTTAATATCAGAAAGTATAGACCTTTCCCAACTAATGATTTATCTCATCAAAATAGGATTCCCCAAATCTTCTTTATTTCTTTTAATAACGTCAATATTATTTTATCTTGTACAAGCAGAATCCTAATTAGAAAACATTTTGTTAAGAAAAACCCAAAAATTAACATTTAAATAATAAGTTTGATACGCCACCAACAAATTTTCATCATCCAACACGAATCTTGAGGCAATATTTTGAGCAAGAAATATTCAAATCTTGATTATCTTGATTAAAAGTCATCAAATCTTGATTAAAAGTCATCAAGAGCTCCGATTTCAATAAACTTATAGTCAAACTGACCGGCTCGATGAGAAGGACCCATGATATCAAGGTTAGTCCACTCCGAGTCAAATCAAACCCATATCAAGTTATTAAATCATTCTTGAAAAATTTCCAGACACATTTGAAATATCAAACAAATGTCGAATTCAACGAGTTTACGGTAGAATTGAGCGTCTCGACAAGATGAATCCAACGAGCCCAAGATTGCTCAATTCCAACATCGTTAAGGCACTCAAATGTCCATCAAACACAATCCGATCGAAGGAAGCTCTTCGGACCGTCCGATCAAAATGATTAATATTCATGCATTTATAAATAAAGCTCCTCCCCTCACATGAGGGAAGGAGGCTTGAGAGAGAACTTGAGGCTTTGAGAAGAAGCTTAAGTCCAACATATCCCTACCACCGCTGAACTCCGATGATTCTTCATCAACTGTCGTCGACCACCGCTAACCAGAGTTATCAGTCGACGTTGTATCTTGGAAAATCTAGTAACCATTTCTCGTCTTTAGGACAAGGGGTCTCTGTAATCATCAACTTATAGTGGATTTTTTTAACTGGGCCAGGCCACGTGGTTTTTTCCCTTTTACGAGTTTTCCACGTAAAAACTTCTGGTGTCATCACATGTTGATTCCCTTTCATCTGAGTGTGTGTTGAATCCTCGTGCAACACTAAGACGATAATCCATTACTCTACCGCCGTGAATTTTCTAGCACGCAGCAGTTTGGCGTCGTCTATGTGAAAGTTTCAATCTACAACTAAAGTACTTACGCGGTTTCCTACATGTCCACCAGGCACAATATTCGTGACAACGGAGCATCCTACTCCAACACCCATCGTTCCAAGGAGCTATCGTTCCAGGGAGCAGTCACGAAGCCAAGGGTGGCATGCTTCTTCATCTTCCTGCTCTAGAAGACACTCTCCTGCCAACGAAGGCATTTCGGGTCCTTCTATAGAAGATCGAATGCCCAGAATGGAGAAGTCTCAAATAGAGATCTTACAGCTCCTATGCGGGGCTCAACAGCCGCTGCCTACACCATTGGATGAAATTTGTTTACCATTAACTCCTCTGTCAGGTTGTGATGCTGAACTCTTAGATACTGCAAGTTTCACTCATCCATCCCTATAACACACCCAACATCACCGCAACTTCTTGCCATTCCAGATGATATTATTCGTAACGAACTACAAGGCCTAGTCTAGGAAGAGTTCCCTT